TGCGCGAGGATCCCGACTCGTGCCCAAGCTCAAGAAGTCGACCGTCTCTGTGACGAGTATTACCAGATTTGCGCAGCGCTCCCGCCTCCACAGGACTTGTCTCCCTCGGGCTCGAGTGCACTGCCTCATTCGCACTCCTCCTACCTCAATAATAACACCGATCACTACTCCGACAGCTACAACAACACCAGCGGTGACAGCTCCGACACCAACTCCGGCACCAACCCCGGCACCAACTCCGGCCCCATCGACTGGATCATGGCACTCCGCACCAAGGAAGATTTCGAAAAGTATCACGAGCACCAGAAAATCAAGTTCGGACGCAAAGATCCCGAGGATTACAACCTGATGGACATGGACTCCGTACAACTTAACAGACGAGGAAGGGAAGAAATGCTGTCCGTGGTGCTCGGGAACAAAAAGGGACGGTTGGGGAAGTACTGGGATTGGCTGGCACAGCGGTCGGGGGAGATGGACAGGGAGATGGAGTTGAATGGCCCCACGAGGCATACGAGGGTGCCGACCAGGAGTCCTAGTAACAACTTTACGGGGTTTTATGAGAAGTTTGTTAGGCATTATGGCCACTAAGGGTCCTTACGTGTTGAGTGGAAGGAATGGATGTCTGCCTTGTGGAAGTTAGGACTTGGGAACGATCCCCAGACAAGAGTGTCATGTCAGCAGGTGGGATGGACAGGAAAGGAGGAAGAAAGAGAGGAACGACATCGGCCACGCAACGGAGGCTGAAACACATACGTTTGGATTTGGGCAAGAATTTGGATGTTACCTGTAGTTGGATCAACCGGGTTTTTCTGGATGTTATTACTCGCTTCATTGGATGAAGGCATGGAAATTTGTTGCAAAGATACATGGGAATAGCCGGCCAGACAGAGAGCGGTAGAAACTCACAACGAATATGCTACGAGCATTCTTGGGAACTGTTTAAGAGTACAAATAAGATACACTATTACTGGACAATGTTGACGTGCCCTATTCTTTCGTGATCAAGACCTTTCTGCCCACTTGCTTTTCTTCTAACCCTGTTTATACTGGAGCTGGCCATTTATTCACTTCCATCTTACATTGTCTTTTTGAGGCTCACCTTCTAGCCGTGTCCCACGGCATCACACACCTTAACCACGGGGTCTAGTTCGCATGGTAGATGGTATGGCCTCTACCACGTCGCATTTCGTCATCCGCTATATCGACGAAATTGAAAAACAAAACTGAAATAAAAACGTCTTGTATATACTTCTAGTGGTACCTTGACGTCTCAAGGCAACAGTTCCCTACCTTTGAGGCACACTCCCAAGCTCAGGCTCGAAATCCAGTCAAAGATGCGAAGTTTCCCCCATTGCATGCGTGCACGGTCTTCACCCGAGATGCTACTTATAGTCAAGTTCACACGGCGTTTAAAGAACTCTGTCGGAGACCCGCGGATGTTGTGCAATGGGCATTGAGAATGCCGTAGAGGTAATTCACCACGAGTCCACGACCGGCATAAGATGGGGAAAACCGTGGAGGCGAAAACTGGACAAGCGTGCATGATTGGAAAGTGTTCGAAATGGCCAGAAAGGTTTGGAAGTTGGAAGTGGCAGATGTATACCGTACCGCATAAACTCGGGCCTTTCGTTTTCCGACTTCCCTGGAAATCAGGGAAGACTACCTAGTACATCACACGAAAAGCACCTCTGGAACTAGAGCTGCATATGCATGCTCGAATTCTGTCCTTAGCCCCAAACCCTACATGTGTAAGCCACAAGTCCACAAAGTCCTAAGTTAATCACATGACGATATGCACACAAGGTACCGTAGTTATATTTTCTTCGTTTTGGAAGAGAAATAAGAAATGATTATTTGCATTCGTCTGACGTCTACCAACATGAAGTTCCACGAGAGCTGTCTTCTCTTTTCTCTACCGTAGGAACTCGAGTAATCCACCGAACGCCAGGAGGCAGAAATCTGGTAGCTGCTGTCCGCATATACCAACATATATCTCTATCCGAATAGTGAAAAGTAAGGGCAATTATCTATTTCAACGTTAAATTGTATACATTTGCATGTATAGAACCGGCTTGACTATACTAACTACCTGCAAAAATCTGTTCTCCGCCCGTCAAATAAGAAGGAGGGGGCTTCGGCGGATTATTCGAGTTCCTACGGTACTTACTACCTCTAAGTACCTACTTCTAGAAAGATGCGGGTGTCATGCAATGCCTTCATCGAAGAAATATGCAATTAAAGTTCAACCCGCCTCTCGGTGGCGACATGAATTCGAGATTGCAGATGGGAGTCATTCACCGCGCCGGGCGTCAATTTGGGGCCATGTCCGGTAAAACAAAACAGCTAGGTAGGTAAAGGGAGCTTTGCATGACCGGGCAGTTCATGTTGATAACTGGCCACTCGGGTTTCATTTTCCCAACAGGTATAACAGACCTTGGACCTCCGCTGGAAATGAGTTCTCGTTCTTTTCCTTTTTCCCTTCCAGTCTTCATGCTTCATCAACCACCGGCTTTTCTACGGTATTGAATCGAACAAATCTCTTCGACTCTCTCGAACACATCTCTTCGACTCTATTATCGGGCCAAACATCTCCCTACCTAGGTACATCTACCACCTACCTACCTACCACTATGTCATCGAAGCAAGAACCTAAAATGGCCGCCGCTGCCTTCCAAAACCTCGACGAGCTCCGCTCCCAAATGGACCCCTACGCACACATCGATCGTTGGGCCGAGACGCTCAACAAGAATGCTCAAAAGCCCCAGCAGCCTACCTCCGAGCCGACCAATACGACCTTGTGGCCGCTGATCGACCTCAGTGAAGAAATCACGGTCCAATCCTCCTACTTCCCAGTCTTCAGGAAGAATAACAAGATGATAAAGACCACCATCACCAGGGACGACGGCCACATCATCAAAGAGGAGCGGGTCCAACTTCACGGGCGCGGTATCGTCGAAGCCAACCGTCGCCGGGGAAACAAGAACAACAGCAAGTACCCCAAGCCCACAGCCAAGACCATCCACGACCAAGAAGGCCGCTATTACGACGCCGACGGCAATTTCCGTCTGCCAAAGCCCGTGTACCTTGACAGCCGCCCGCCGGTGCGGTATCCCGCCCCGCAATGCACGGCCACTGCCTGGCTGAACAGGCGGCCAGATCTAATGGAATTGGAGTGGGAAAGAGAGAGAGAGAGATGAGCAAAAGTCCCGGCCAGGGACGCCGATTTGGGCCAATTCTAGCTATTCTTTTTGTGTTTCCTGCTATTCTTTTTTTTTTTTCAATGTTTTATGGAGTCCATGGAGTTGAAAGGGAAATGAGGGAAAGTCTGGTCCCGGCTAGGGACGCCGTTTTGGGCAATTTTTCTTCTTTTGATAAGGTATTTTCTGGATTGGAGATGAGTTAAGCGAGCTCGTAACTTGAAAGGATATATATATACTGTAGGGACTCGAATAATCCGCCAAAACCCCTCTCCCTTTTTAATTAGGAGGCGGAAAGCAGATCTGTACAAATAATTAGTACAATCAGGCCGGTCCTATGTATACAACTATGTACAAGTTACCTAACGTTGAGAGCAATCGCCCTCAGTTTTCACTATCTAAATAGAGATATATGCTAGTATATACCGATAGCAATTATTAGATTTCTGCCTCATAGCGTTCGGCGGATTACTCGAATTCCTACCTTACGGTATTTTCTAATCCCAAATCAGAATTCCGAGTGTCCTGAGTCCCGACTGCCGAGTCTGGATTTGAGTCCCAAGTGCGAATAGGGTGTGCACCAAATTACAACTCCCGTCCTCGTTCCTCATTCCTCAATCACGTTCCCAAGCGCCCCTATCCTCCATATCCGACCAGTCTTCATCCTCCAAGCGAGTCTCGTCGTCGTGGTCGTGGTCACAATTACAATGCTTTTCGCCCGGGGTGTAGGTGTGCTTGCTCATGTCTTCTGGTGACGCAAAAGATATGTATTCTAGAGGTAGGTAGATTGTCAGCTTTGTCGTTCACTTTTGCGCTTGGAACTTGAGCTTGGAACTTGAGCTTGGAACTTGGACTCATCAAAGACGCGAGTGTGTGGAAGACATACATGTAGGGAAGGCGGAAAGGAAGGGATGAAGGAAAGAATTGGAAGGAAGGAACCTAGCAAGGGATTTGGTCTTACTACTGCTGGCAGTGTTCTTCTGGGTTTTGCTGCTGCTGCCCGCGCCCGCTTTGGGAGCGTTGGCGGGACCAGAACGGCGGCCGGAGCTCGCCGGAATGGTGACCGTGGTGCCGCTTAATTGGATATTTCCGGCCTGAGTCATCATGGTGGTTGCGGTGTTTTTTTTCGGTTGTGGCCTTGCTGGGCTTGGAATTGCCGACGTTCATCTTGTTCGTGGACTTGTTGGTGGCCTTTTTGGTGGACTTATTGGCAGAAGACATCTTGTTTTTGGTGTGTGTGATGTCGGGAGGGGTGGAAGTGATGGGATATTCGATAATGAAAAAAGCAGGAAGAGAACTCGACTTCGAGAAAAGGACGAGGACCTATTATGGTGCCGGAGACTGCAGTAAACATTGAATGTAGCGGATGGCTAGTCCACAGCACCTTGATAACTTCAAGGTTTCCCCTTCACCATAAGATATGTCCGGCGAATTACTTACCTACCTACCTACTCGTTTTCGCTGTTCAAACCTTTGCGGTTATCCCCAGAAAGATGGAATGAAGCTTCAAGGTTCTGTCTTTACCATCTTAAATATGCACAGTGAAGACCCCCACCCATGACCTTAATTCTACTCAGTCCTACGGTACCGGGTTGCTGGTTTGCTCCAAGCTGTCACGGTATCTTCCTATATATTTGTAAACGTCATCAGACATCGGAGTGGCCACTTTGTGATAGGAAGAGACTTAACCAGCGAAAATCCTCGAACTCAATTATCCCGAACTTTTTCCTTTTCGTCGCAGCCCGAATCCCAATTTTCCCCCGCATAAACGGTATTTCCTGCATGTGCAAACGTGCCCCATGGGCTTGAATGGAGTCTTGTCGGTGAATATTGGTGTGGGCAGTGTGTTCGCACTTCGGTGAATGTAAACTTCTTTTCTTGGACGAAGTAGGATGTGATTTTGACATCTTTGACGGCTTCGATCAACTTGTTGTGGTTGGCGGCAACGGGGTTGGCGGCCTTGCTCTGAAATTTGTTGTCGATGCGCGCTTGGCCATTTTGTCAAGGTGGTAATAGCGTAGAGGCCCTCGAGGAACCAGAAAAGAAAAAGACAATGCAGTTGAATGTGCATAGACGAATGAGTTGTTGTTGTTGTTGTTGTTGTTGCTGCTGCTGCTGTGAATCCGTTTGCCATGTCGTTCTTTCCTTTTCTCGCTTTGATCCTCTCGTTTTCTTTTTTGTTCCTTCTTTCCCTTTTCTCCCTTCGTCTGTTCCTTCCCTAAGACCCTTCTTCAAGCTACTACGCCTACTTGGTATCTCCTCCACAATCACAACCCGGGAAATCACGAGTCTCCAATGCTCCAGCCCTCAAATTCCTCAGCATAATTCCAAGCACCTTGTTTCTCAAGCGCCTCCCACTGATAATCCTCCAGACGACCATCATCCTCTCCCTCAGGGTGGTAAGTGCAAAATCCATTCGGACCGTAGGTGTGCTTCGGTGCAGTGTCGGTGTAATTGCTTGTGCCGTCTTCATAGAGAAAGATATTGATTGTCAGCTTCTTCTTTAGAGACAGGAAAGCAGGAAGGGGACTGGGCCTTACACTTGTTGCCCGCTTCGGGGGCCGTGTTGGTGCGACGGCGGCCGAATCTCGCCGGGATAGTGACCTTGGAGGCAATCACTTGGATGGTCTCGTTGGTGTCTCCGATCCAGAGCGCGTGGGTGATCTGCTCGTCTACCTTGGCTTTGGTTACGGGCTTGCCGGTGACGTTCTTGTTCTGGTTGTTGGATTGGGAAGACATTTTGGTTCTGTGATGTCTGGACGTACGGGATTGAGGTTAAGAAGTCGAGATATTCAGTGATGATAAATTGCGAATGTTGTTCGATGATGATGAAGAGACAAGCGTCGGATGGCCGTAAGTCACTTACTTGATTGGACCCATGTCCCTTTATGGATTGGATGCGAAGGGAAGAGAGACGGGAACGAACACAAGTCGTTGCCTTTCTTTCATCACCCAGGTTGAAAATGCCACCTTTGCCAATCACGAGTACGGCGCCGACGGCAAATTCACCCTGCTCACACCCGTGTATTTCCCTTCAGTTCCGGTCAAGCCCGCTGGACGCTGAAATGCGAACTCGATCGAATCTGTCGAACAACGAGACACATGAGTGAGTGGTTAGACTTGAGTGATGAATCATTCGATTCAAATGCATGTTCATGATACCTAGTGCTTTGATTGAGTCGGGTTGGTGTCAGTCACCAAGTCGGCAAGAAGCCAAGAAAAAAAGAGAAAAAAAGGAAAAAAAGTGAAGCCAACAGATAGCACAGCACAGCGAACGTAGTAAGTAGACCGGCAGGCAGCCAAAAATCGAAAGACCCGCGTATAACAACGATACCACCTCCCGCGCCCCCACAGGAAACGACATGGATCGCTCGGTGTCACGCGTGCGACGTCTTTGTTAAAAAGACCTGGAACCTCATGATCTGCCCCGACCGCGACTCGAACTCGAAGACGGCCGGGGTGGGAGGTGCAGAAGCTGTGCTGGGACGGCACTACAGGTACTAACTGCACCATCTGACCGACCTGAAGGTCGGCTGGCTGGGGGGTGTTGGAAGATGCTAGGGGACGGGAGCTTATAAGGCGGGAAACACGGCAGTGACTGTCCGCTAGGTGGCGGCAGGATGGTTGAGGTTGGAAAGTGCGCGAGAAGAGATGGGATGGAAGAAGCAGTTGCCGGCTGGGTACCAGTAAGGCGGCAGGTTGGGGTATGAGATGCGTCACGGTCTAGAGGTACCTCTATCTGCAGGAACAGCTGCATCTGCCGCCATCCAGGAGTCCCAGTTGTGTCTGGCTGGCAGGCGGTCGTGTTTTATTGGGGTGACCGCGTCCCTTCTCTTCGATCCGTCTTCTAAGATTGCCCCTGAGTCTGGTGAATCTCCTCGAGGTACCGTACCAACGCTTCCTGCCTTCAATCTCAAATACCGTGACACCAATAACCGTTACGTGCCACCCCTCTTATTGTACACGATATTCAAATTCGCGACAGAACCCTTGAGACGAAATAATGAAGCCAGAAACCTTCAGCTTTCGCAACTCGCGCGCGCAATTTGAGGGCTCGCTCACCTCCTTAGGGGAGCAATTGTGTGAGTAAAAGCAACTCTCGATGCGCATTCACCCGTGCCTGGAGTCAAGATGACGCTAACTGGGGAACAGGAGAGCAATGGCTCATTAGTTGCAGTTAAATACCCACTACGGCATAGTTCCTCCCTTCCGTGCGTCTCCCACTTTGCACGTTTCCTCTCGATACCACGCGACTCAACCCGACGTACTTCGCAGAATCTGGAAGCCCAACAACGAAACATCAAGACAGACGATGCCCAAACGACCCAGAGCGATGGCACCAGTCGCCGACCTGGCAACCAGCGAGCCAAACGAGGACAGAAGGAAGAGGTCACGCATGGCGTTAGCTGCGGAGGAAGTCGCGGAGGAAATGACTGACGATATGGATGAGGAGATGACTGAGTGCATGCGTACATGGTTGCGCACGAAGCTCCTCAAATATTACCACAAGGGATTGGAGGAGGACAAGAACAATGAACCAACTCAACGCAAACTGTTGCTGGAGTCGCCTACGGGCTCTGACGACGTTGAGCAGTCGGCTGATAAGCCACTCACAGTTGGCGAATTGTCAAAGACGATCGATGGGCTGCTTCTCATGTTTGAAACAAAAAAGCGGCAAGGCCAATGTGATCCATCGTCGGAGTCGGATGAGCCCTTTGACGATGTCGACGTTGTGGAGATGGCCCAGGAAACGACGGACGATAGCGACATAGACATGGATCATGATGAGGAAGACGAGGACAAAGAAGACGAAGAAGAAGAGAATGAGGACTACGACGATGAGAATGACGACGAAGAACACGGCGACGACAATAACGACGAGGATGAGGACGACATATCATACTACCATAGCGATGAGGTCGACGGATACTTAGATGGGCGCGGATGGTACTGCCTCCATGGCAACGTCTGGTGTTCAGACGAAGACGAGAGCGAAAACGAGGAAGCAACTTCCCCTGAAAATGAGTACATACTCTCACCGTGGAGCGTTGGAGATCCCTCAACCCCAAAGGACCCGTTCCTGGAGCATTCACCGCAGGTAGACTTGATGGGCGCCTTCCATAACGAGCGTGGCAACCGCGATTCCACCATTCAAGCTGTCGGCCCCATCCTTAGAAACCCGGCAATCCTGTCGCTCCAAAGCGAGGCCGACTATGAGAACTATCTCAAGCGACCGCGTATCGGCTTTGGTCGTCCTGCATGGAGAGCATAATATCATGAAGCAACGTTGAGGAGCGTGGTCGCCAGCTAATCCAATACCGTGGCCACTTCATGGGAGGCTGCAACCGTTGAACTGTTTGATCAACAATCCAGTCCACCACCAGCAAAACCACCCAAAAGCATCATGGTGTTGGGTCAACTATCTTCCAAGCACGATGGCATTCAACCACACAACAAAGAGCCAAATTGAAGGGATTGGAAAACCAGGTATGGAAAACAACGGCGATGGCAACGCAAATCACTTGGCTTTGCCCTATCAACCTCTCCGCCATACCAATCATACTTCAAACCGGTCTCATCCACTCAAACAACCCGCCCTCAGAAGCCATCCAAAAGCCAGTACAGTTGATGGCTATAACATCGGCTCTTCCTTCCTCCGCCACTGAAACACCTCATCCGGGCCATTCCTCTGTGCAGATGCATCTCGTGGGAGATGAAGCTGGTGGAACAATGGAGATACGTTCAAGGCGCACTGCCACACAAATTTGAACGTTGTCGCTTGAGTGAAAATGGGCTCCAGCGACCGCCTCCTCTAGGTCCTTCTTACAATGACTTGACACCGGACTTCTTTGCGTTTCATTCCTATGAAATCCCCCCCTTTAAAATCTCAACAGAAGCCATCCACCCATTGTGTGTCTTTATTCTAGGCTTTACCTTGGGGGTACCTCTCACTATTCCGAGCCGACATCACCGTTAACGTCGCCTGTAGCGATGTCTACCAAATTGCCGAAGACACCGCCGTCTTTCGAAAAGGTCGACGAAGGCAAGGGCGAGACGAAAAGAGCCATAGACGAGGTTATCGATACGCCAGAAGCCCTGAAGAGGGCAGCGAAGAGGACTAAGAGTATCGTGGAGGAGATGAGCGAGAAACCCAACGGTGGCGACCAGGTCGTAGACAACTCTAGCGACCCTCTGGGCATCGAGGACACTCGTCCGAATATCAAAAGGGAATCGGCAGACGAGCCTCGCCCGAGTGTCGAAAGGGAAGAGTCAGCCGACCCTCCCCTCTGGGACATCTCAGACTTCGGTTGTCACGAGCATGCCGAGGAGAAGAAGGGATCCAATGAGCATATGGTGGAGAAAAGCTCACCAAGCGGCACTCCAAGGCCAAGCAACGTAAAGGCAAAGTCCACCGAGAGCTCGTAGGGTGAAGGGCTAAAGATGGACCGGCCTTCAACGACATCGGTGGGGGTAGCCATGTCCCTGCCTTATAGGACAACCCTAGATCAGCCCGTCAATTTGTCTCATGAGGAGTTGGATCAGGTACACGGAGATATCTCGAACGCGACAAACATCAACCATCGTCAGATGAGTTACCGAGACTTTTTCCATGGGCTATTTACGAGGGTTGTGCTAGTCGCTATTCGTTCGTCATAGGGAAAAGACACATAGCTACTAGTATAGTAGTAAAGCCCTGTCTGCAGTTCTCTGTCACTTCCTGATTTTGCGCATTCTTTCATATGTTTCTTTCGTAATACTTTGCAACTTCATGTGAATCTAGGATTCATCAGGGGCATTGATGGTTGCAACAGACACTCTCCCAGAGGTTTAAGACTGGATGACACATGGCTTGCCTTAGTCGTTCAGGTTCGAATTCGCTTCCACGCTGGTGAATCGCTCCAGGGCTAGCTCCGTGAAACCTTCAAGGTTTGGGAAAGTGCCCTTCACCCGGTGTTATCTTGGATTTCAAGTGAAGCATCTGGCCCTAGTTTACCCTTCACCGGTTTCCATCTTCGCCTCCAAAAGGAGCACACTTTTGGTTTCATGCTGGGATTTCTCTTCCCCCAGCTACTAACAAGTTTGTTCACCGATCAATACCGACGACCGGCATCCAGACGTCCCGTCGCGACCCAACCCTATCTATATACCTCTGTCTTCGATAATGGCGCATCAAAAACTCGAGATTCCGCTGCTCAAGTGGGCGTAACCGTGAATAGCACCACTTCATTCCCTTCATACAAGAAGCTAACGGCATGTAGCAATCCGAAAGGGGTCTTGAGAACCAAACAGAAAGTCGATCACCGAAAAGGATGGAGCCTATCAGCGACAACAGCGTCAACAGTGACAGCTTCGGCGACGCCGGAATGATCTACAACATCGAGCCTATCGCTTCGAACCACCAGAAAGAGACTCCATCCGAGCAAGGCCTCAACACCCATCACATCCTACCCAGCGTCGAGAAGAATATCGAAGCCGCTCCATCAACCCCGGAACGAGACATCCCTTTGTCCACGGATATAGTGGAGCCAACCGGAGAGGAAGATTCCGACCACCTGCCCCCTGTCGACCTCTCATCTTCTCCCTTTCCCTTGACGTTTCCCTCGCCATCGACATTCCAACATCGCGATGCGTCATCAGCTACAGCCTCGCCTGTACGCCCTTCATCCAGATCCCCTTTGAACGTTTCGACCTCGGCCAGCTCCCAGTTCTCCTCGTACACGTCTATGTCCGAGGAATACTTAGACGAGGAGGAAGACTCAGACGATTACTTCAGCGATGACGATGACGAGAACGAGAAAAATGACGAATTCGGATCCGAGGACGAAGGCCTTCCCTCTTTTGCGGGCCGCTATGATCGCTGGCCAGATTTCGAAAACCTGGAAGGAGACGAGTATACCTGCATCATTGTCGAATATCCAGACGGAATGCAGATCGTGGTGCAGAGTGGTGCAAAGGTAGGACGTCGAAGACAAATTTCGACATAAATGGCCGTTGGTATCGTGGAATGAATGAATTCGGGGTGGAAGGTTACACTCCTACCCGGACCCATAATCCCTGGTTAGATGGCTAGAGCCTGGCGATTAGGAGTCTGAAGATATCCACTATAATGGCGACGACGAAATCAAGATTGGCCATGATGATGCGGTCTATTTCTACATCGGTTCAATCTGGCGGCAAGGTGGTCGACGTGGGGCGATGCTCTAGCTGTCAGAGATGGACATATGGACGTCAGACGGATGAAGGCAAAGGGGTGGGAGTAGACTTCACAAAGAGCGAGTTGTGTAGGATGGTAGCAGAGGTATCGAAAGAACTCGATGAGCACTAGAAAACTGCGTAGTTCACGCTCGCCCCTTTTATTTCATGATTTACATCTTCGCTTTGTGGTTCGTGCTCTCTCCCATTAGCACCGTGTGGATGAGACTGTCGATACCTGAGAATGGCCCATTCACTTGGAGATGGCGGTCTTGGAACATCAAGTGAAGGGACATCAATCCCGCATTGACCATTTCTCACTTCGTTCAGTGCTTGCGTTTGCTTTCTTACACCCACGGAAGCCCTTTTGCTCCATCTAATGACTTCAAGGAAGTCATTTGATTAATCGCATCTGGACGATCTGAATGTGAATGGCCAGCAATGGATCAACAGCCGTTTAAGACTCATTCTTCCGATGCGGGCAGCAGTGTGAGTGTCACATATACTGATAACTTTCCCATTCAGCGGGCTACCAATAGGATGCCAACAGCCCAAAAGGGTTCTGGAGGATCCCGACCAATTGGACAGCAGCCAACCCAAAAGGCGGAAAAGTTCATCAGCATCTGAAGGGAACGAAGACGGAGGATCGGAGAAGCCCAATGACAGAAGTGATGAGCCAACACAAGACGACGGCGTACGCAACAGTATTATCGAAACTATTGAGCGGGACCAACCCAGAACCCCCTTACCGCGTCCCCGACGGACCACCTCCGGGCGCCACGCTCCTTCGACAAACCCAACTCGACTACGCCGAGTCCCGATCGCAGAAAATGGACCCGCCAATATCTGCTTGCCGTTCTCTTTCTCTCCTCGAACACCTCCCGCTTCCTTACCCACTCCCTCTCGCCTACTGCTGCACGCAGAGCTACCCCTCGGGCTCCTCTCCTCCTCACCCGTCTCATCAGTCACCGCTTCACCCACCCCCTCTTCCTCGCGCTGGAGCAATTTTTCGTCAACTTCGCCCTCGCCAAGCTCTCCTTCCTCGACTGCTACCTCCATCCCCGAGGGGGATGATGCAGGTATCGAAGGGTTGCTTGTGCATGAGCATTGGATAAACGCAATTCTGGGAGAGCAAGATGTGAATGATAATGTGGGTAATGAGGATGAGGACTGGGTAGTTTGGTTCACGCAAGTGGTGGTGCGGGCTGGTTGGCCTTTGGGATGATGTTGATGTGGAATAGCTGGTGTCAGGGGGGTGGATGTTGATTACCTCTAGGTAGGAACCGGTGGAATACTGGGTCTGGCCTGGGTTAGGTCGGCTTTGTTCATGTTTGTCTTGATCAGAAAGGAAAGGAAGAAGGGGATATTTAAGGGCGCTGGAATGATTGATTTACGCAGACAGTTGAGTTGTATGGGCATTTCGCTGCGTTGGTAATGGTCTTTGATGAAGTAAGAACCGAAGTTCTCTCGCTCTTTCGTGGTGAAGTTGGTTGGTCTGTTTGCTTCCCCTTCAACTTATCTCCAATGAAGTTGCTCATTGCCCGTTCACGGCCCAGTGTCTGACCACAAATTATCCCTTTTATACGGCACTGGTATTCCCACGGACGTCCGATACTGAAGTTTATCGCGAGATGCAAAGATGGAACAACCAAGCCGCAGAACCTCTTCGTCTAGCACTGGCGAAAGCTGGAAGATTGCCAACGACGGCATGGACTCAGCCGACCGGAAGCAACAGACCAAACGGGCACTTGAGGAGGATGAAGAACATAAACGACCCGCAAAAGGACTGAAGAGGGCTACTAGCAATGAAGTCTACGAAGAGCTTCGCGAGCGGAAGGCGGTTCCATATCCTCATCCTCTGGTGGCCAATATCAGTAGCCGCAGCATCGACAATAATCTCGAAGACATGGACCGTCACCTCAACAGTCTGAGGGAGATGGTCAGAGTAAATGATATAAAAGACGCTGCAGGAAGTCAGGACAAACCATCTGATGATGACAGCTCCAGCGGCGATGGCACACGCGGCGATGAAGAGGAGTATATCATATCGGAAGAAAAGGTCAACCAACGGTCTGGGACACCAATACCTCAGCGAGCACCCTCTCCACAATTTCACTCGCTTACTTCCCCAGCATCATCCATTTTCCCCATCTCTCTAAAAGTCGAGTCTCACACTCTCCCCATATCAACTCTACAGTCTGTCCTGGCATCCTGCCTTTCTTCAAACTGGCCGTCAACTTCTTCTCCACCCTTCTTGACTCTTTACCGTTGGTGGAAGAGAAAACAGGAGAGAGGGGAGAAGAGAAAGGAAAGGAGGGGTGAGAAGAGGAAGGAAAGGAGGAAGCGGTGGGGAAACACGTTGCATATTGGAGGAGAAAGCAGAAGACGTGGAAGGGTTTAACGTGAGGGAGGTGAGGAGGGAGGAATTGAGAGAGATTACAGGATGAGGAAGGAAGCTGGGAGAGATTTTCGGGTGAGGAAGGTGAGGGAACAATAATGCCGAAGAAGGGGCCTTGGAGGAGGATGGCTCTTCCCTGCACCGTCATCGTCGTCAACACCCGCCCCTTTGCCCGCAACATCACTCCCATTTTACATACGCTGCTTCCTTCGCCGTAACCTCACCCTCGTCCTCAAACAAATCGAACACTAACATACGGATTCAGGCCCAACTTAGATATCCTCGAGCTCCTCAAGTTCCCCGGAGCATCAAAGCGGCTGGAGCGACTACGCCACCGCACGAAATACTGGCCGAGGCCTGAAGGGCTTGAAGAGGAAGATCAAGGCATGGGATATGCAATAGTAGTCCGATACTTGTGGAGTTCTTCCCGAGATGCAATGTCACTGTCTTCTTACAATCGTGATAGCTATCGCACACATCATCCTGTCTTCTTTGTCATTAACAATGTCACAAGTGACAGTTCCAACAAGATTACAACATTTCAACTCTATTTCGCCAGTCATTACCAGGTGAACGTTCCAAATCTTCAAACCTGGTGGTGAATGGCGCAGGATTCGGTTCGTTACCAGAACGGGGGTACTATTCCAACCTTACTAGGTAGTAGTAAAGTTGTGACCTTGCTGGCAAGGGTATAGGAGTCGCTAGTAATCTAGCGCCATCCCCCAAGTAGGTTTATAGCTAGAATCTGAAGTGGAGGATCCGAGCATGGCGAAGGTAAGTTAATACCCGGTTTCTAACCTATTAGTTTTAACCTTTTATATTTTTACACCCACAAGGTCCTTCATCCACCTTCTTCGGAGGTTCCTCCCAAGGCTGCACATTATCCCTGGTGGCCCCCCATTACCCCTGAAGGTATGGCTTTACGCAGGAAAGCATTCCATGAGAGACAGCACGCGAGTGCCGCCTAAGGCACCTCTACATTGAACAATACGGACGGCTCCGGTCGAAGCGTGAGCAAGACGAGAACTCGCCAGGTGGCGCGAAAGTACACGGGGTCCAAAATTATGAAGAAGAACGTTACCACCCCGAAGCAGAACTTGGAGTCCAGGCGGTCACTCGAACAGTCTTCCCAGCCCAACCACAAGACACGGTACAGGTTTAAACTGAGAGCCGTCCCGGACGCCGAGCCGAAACGCGTTGGCCTTACCCACAGCCCGAATCCTCACGCTTCAAACCCGTCTATTCTATCCAGAGACGAGCATTCTCCTTTGCCTGCTTTCCTCGAGCACACGGTCCAGTCTTATGACAGGTACCGCTCGATTGTAAGTATGGGATGTGCCGTGGGAGGGACGAAGGCTGACCGTCTCCGGTCGTACATGGAGTACTGGCCGAAGCACGATGAACTTGACGAGGGCGCAAATGAGAACGACGATGCAGATAATGGAAATGAGGAGAATGTCGCAGTTGAAGACAACTAAGGACTCTTTCGAAAACCAAGACTGATGCCGCCAACTCTTGGATTTGTTCTAACGGTAGCCTGGTAAGCATGGCGAATTTATTGGGAATTCTGATGTGAGTCCCTTGAGGGTAATTCTCAAGGCAGAGGCTGAAAAGGGCGCGGGGGACTTTAAAGGAAAGCGATCATGGTGCGGTGTAACTGCAGAAAACAAGGACTGTCATGATGTATTTCTCCGGAAAAGCGCGAATCTTCATGACGTTATCCGTTCAAGACCGGAAAGAGTTCTTCTACATCGTTGCTTCCTGCAATTTCTTAGATTAAACCAGTTCGAGTCAGAAATTAATAAAAATTAATAAGGGCAACTCCCTTCAAACGGCCTGTCACCGTACGTAGAGGTATATATCCCTCTTGCTCTTTTGACATCCAAATTCTCAGGGTACCCGAATGGATTTCCTACCTGTTCTTTGTCAGGGCAGCCATCGACATACATGACCTTCCACGATATCATCAGTGAATGCTCCAGAAAGTCACAAACCTGTATAGCATCCTCTCTCTAGAAGTCAGTCCTTCCCATGTCAATGTTCCCAATCTCCTACAAATCTGGGCAGTGGTGAATGGGATGTTCCCGAAGAGCGGGGTGGTTACAGATCAGCAAACCTTGAAACCTTGGAGTTCCAGTTCCTTGCGACCCTGGAGGACGGCACTCACCCTCTCAAGGCTGCCTCATTTACTTCTCTCCCTTTACCTGATTCATAAATATTCCGTCCTTGTAATTCCTGTCCCCAATCCTTCCTCCTTTGTGGAAATGCACGGCAATTTGTGAAACAACATCGCAATATTGCCCTTCTGCGACCAGCACCGTACGTCTCCGCGTCTCGCGATTTCCATTTGCGACAGCATTCAGCAACATGCCAGTCTCCCGCACCCGCGAAGCCATGGAGGCCCCCCATGCTCGCGTAACTCCTACTAGACAAACCAAGAGGAAGCGCGAAGAAGCGGATACAGGCAGCCCGGAAGTAAAAAGGCCCAAAATAAGCGAAGAATCCGACATGGAGATCATCCGCGCGACAAAGAAGGAAGATGACTGGTGCGAAACTCATCAGAAGCTCTACGACCATCTCAAGGATCGCCGCGCGAAAATGGCGGAAAACACCTCTATCGACAAGAAGATCGCCACCCCGAGCGAGACGTTAAACCACAGCAGCGCCGTTATACAGAAACCCGGGCGTTCTCCCCAGGAATGTCTTGAAGTGGTGCTTTGCCGCCTGGAAGCTGTGCTGGAGCGGCATTACTGCCTTCATCTCGAAAGTACCTCTAGAGGTATGCAAGCTTCAATAACCTCAACCAAGTCTTCCAACACAAAGTCATCTCTCAATAACGATTACACCTTGAGGATTAAATCCATCGAGAGCATTTTGGAACTTAACAGGGTGAAGGTGGACGACAGCCTTCCGACCAAGCAACCCAGGACGAGGCAAGTGGCGCGCAAGAGTCTTGGGCCTAGAAATAACGGTTCCAACAGCTCCTGGCCAACCTTCAACGCCAAGAGTCTTGCATCAAAGCCGAAGCTGAACTCAGAACCGAAGCCAGAACCGAAGCCAGAACCGAAGCCAGAACCGTAGTCAGAACCGAAGCAAGAGCCAAAGACGGACATGGGGCCCAAGATGGAGACCAAGACGGAGCACAAGACAGATCCCAGGACGGGAGCATCCCTCAAGTCTAACAACACCCGACGGTACAATCTCCGACAGAGAACCGTCCCGAAAGAACCAAAGTAGAACGCCGAACCAAGTGCATAAAGTACTGGCCAAATCCAGGTGAGCTGAGCGAGGAAGAGCAAGATCATGAAGACGATGCTAATTGAGCCGAAGCCTTTAGGTCTAGTCACCTGAGGAGGACTTAGGGAAGTTTGTCAATAACGAGGAAGTGATTCAGGCAAGAGTTATGATATGAATTTTGGGAAGCGGCGACATGGAACCGGCATTTTGGCAAAGAGTACACGATTACATGCCGTGGGATTTCGAAAGAGAAGCGGGATGGGGGAGTATATGAACAAGATCTATTAATACCTTATCAATATTGGGGTCGGGGAGCAGCGGCGGGGAATCAGCTTGCAAAAAGTACGCAAGTATATGCGGTGAGACTTTCAGGAAATAGTGGCAAGGTTAAATGATGGGAGGCACCCGAGGATTTGTTTTGGGCAAATGGCATTTGGCAGGAGACAGGAGTACGAGGACAAGATTCAACTGCAAAATGACCTGTAGCGACAAGTTAGCACTCTGCTTTTAACGTATGAGACCTTGGTACTACCTTTCTGTTGTCCTCAGAGAGTACAGACATATATGCCTATTGCGCAAGAGTGCTGGGAGCAGAAATAATGGTTCTAATAGCTTCTGGCCGACTTTCAACAGCAGGAGTGTTGCATCAAAGCCCGAGCGGAAGCCAGAGCAAGAGCCGTCTCTCAAGTCTTACAACACCGGACGGTGCAATCTTCAACATAGAGCCGTCCCAGTGAACCCAAGCGAAATTCGTTAACCAAATCCATCCAGATGACAATTATATACCATTCTCCAAAGTGCGACATGGGTCTTTTCAACAATAATCGAGAGGGCATCCTCCTTTCATCACGGTAGCCATCGGCATACAATATTTCCTACGATGCCATTAGTAACGATCTAACAAACTCACAGACTTGCATAGCTTTCCATGGACTCCAGTCTTCCTCATGTCCCAGTCCCCCGCATTTTTCGGGAGTGGTGAATGAGATGTTACTGAGAAAGGGAATTCTAGATCAACAGAATCTTTGTGCCCACCGGTCCGGTGGAATTTGAACCTTGGGGTTTCCTTGCGACCGTGAAGGGGGAAACGAGGTCCTCAAGGTTGCCTTCATTCACGTCATTTAGGTTCTTTTTGCTGCTTTATGAATATTCCCCTCTGGTAGTACCTGTCCCTAGAAACTTCCCTCCTGATGGACACGCATACAAGTTGTATGTGTAAACTCCACATACCTACCTGCCCCTGCATTGTAAGCAGCACATTGCGAATTCACATCTCATCATCTGCTTCGGCCATGCCATCAAACAGTATGCCAGCACCCAAGGCCCGTAAGGGCATGGAGACCCCACCAACCCGCGTAACTCCTGCTAGACAAGCGAAGAGAAAACGAGAAGAGGCCGACGTTGACAGTCTAGTCACGAAACTGCCCAAGAAAAGTGACGAGGATGACGTAACCCGCGATCACTTGGCCGCCTTCCACGAAGACCTCCGCACGACAGGGAAGGGCGACGACTGGTCCGAGGCTCACCAAAAGCTCTACGACTATTTAAAAGAAGGGGTACACTCTACACGCGCCCAAATACCCTATATGTGACGTCTGGCACCATCTGGGCTGTCACTGCCTGCCATCAAGGCTCCCATTCACATGGGTGCTGTTCAATGTCAATTCATTCACGGGTTTTGGTGTCACATGGTTGTCGCCTGTGGTCTGGGTTATTAAACCAAGCTCTAGCATTGAGCCTTCCCTTTTGGGATTTCTTCCCCTCTTCAGCTTCTTATTCTTAGTCCAAGATAATCAAATCGTACACAACGTGCCCTCTGGTTACGCCGTGACACTATAAACACGCCCACGCAAGTATACACTTTCGAATCACTTAAGACAACAGGCACTACGCTACTTGAAATATTCATTTTCCCTCTTAGCTCCTAGTTCCTAAATCTTTCAAAAATAACACAAGTGCTTTTAGAGTGTTAGCTTTATAGGTTTGGAGTAGTATATATTAGTTAGCTAATAGGTAGCTACTTGCCTCTTATTTTATCGATGAAACTGCAAAGGTTAGTTAAGTATACTCAATTTCAGATAGAGAAACGAATAGAAATTTTGAACGAGGCTTCAAGTTTATATACAAGGCCTTTCTTAGATTGGTTCATGGAAAGAATTGCTGGTATAGCTACTTCGCCTTCTATTATGGGCGTGTTTGTAGGGTTTCTGGGCGTGTGTAGAGTGCAACCCTAAAAGAAAGACGGACAAAAGTAGAGGCAGCCTCCTTGGACAACACCGTCGATGTCGGAAGCCAGAAGGTGCAACAGAAGGACTCTGATGCCGCAAATATCGACCGTTCTCTCAACCCAAGATACGTCAAGGCGCTCTTGTGCCGCCTTGAACGTTTCCTGGAGCGCCACTACCAAGAACACCTCGAAAGCATAAAGTCCGAACCAAGCGCGGCCTCAGCAAAAGTCCCGGCCCGGCGTACATTACTTGTGGATTGACGTCATCGAGCAGAAGTTGGCACAAATCAAAGAGGTCGTCCCTCATGTTGTCAGCAAGACCAGGACTTGCCAGGTGGCGCGTGTGACGAACCGTTACAAGCACAGGAGTATTATCGCTGGGATAGAACAATAGAGTAACGGAGTAGTAGCCAAAAGGTACTGGTAGGTTGTGATAGCTATTGCTTGCTGAAGAACCAGGTATACGAAGGCCAGGAGGCCTTCTTATATACTGGTCTTCAACCCCGGGTCCTATCTGATTGGTCAATCTATCTAGCTTACATGAGGCTCAACGATTGGATCGTAACACTTATGCTGTCGTCGGAAAACCCTTCCGACGTGATGAAGTTGTTGGGCGGGCCTGCTACGCCCATTGAGAGCAGCACAATGGCGGAAGGTCTGGCAATTGCCCATTCAATAGCGGAAGCCAGCGACGATCTTGCGAGGTACGAACCTGACTCTCAAAAGGGCAAGACGCGTGCCATAAGAGTGTCTGTCAAAATCTTGTCTGACTGCAGGGGTCTCATTGATGCAATCAGGAGAGGGAAGTTCTGTGACAAGGGCAGGTTTCTGAGCTTGGAACAAATAGTTCAATTCCGCTGATAAACTACTTTGGTCTCGAAGGCCTTGTTGGACCTTTCAACCTCTAGAGGAAGGCTGGGCTTCAAAGCCTTCTTATGCCAAAGGGAAACGGTACCTATCTAGTACGTACGGGTCCTTGTCACCTGAGGCTCCAAGGCATCTAGCGATCTGCATACATGTAGGTCTTTCTCGTATGACACCAGGAGTGTGGCATATGCCCGTTTGACAGTGGCATATGCCCGTATGCCACCAAGAGTGTAGCATATTCCCGTATGCTACCAGGAGTGTAGCATATGTCTGTGTGACACCAGGAGTGTGGCATATGCCCGTATGCCACCAGGAATGTAGCGTTTGCCCGTATGCCACCAGGAGTGTAGCGTATGTCCGTGTGACAAGTTCTCCAACTATTTGACCATAATCGGCTTCGAAATCCTCAAGCAGTCCGAGATCTTTTAGGAAACTTTCCGGGGCTTGTCCCAACAACACCACATGATTGTGGACAAGTTGGCTCTCCATTGGGTCCCGGGGCATGAGGCCAGACTCCCTCTCCACCAGCAGGCGGATGTACTCGCCGGTGACTGTAGCCGGGAGCCAATGCTCCGCTTGAATAGTCGAGAGGAACCATGAGATGGTGCCGTGTATGTGTTTGAAAAGCTCGGGATGGGAAGTCGGGAAGAGGATGAGAGCGAAACAGGTGAGGATGAAAAGACCCCTACAGCCCATACCAGGCCAGCCGAGATAAAGGTCGAGGGAAAGGGGTAGAGGGGGAAACCAAGGACACGAACCCGAACCCGAACCCGAACCAGAACTCCAGCTCCAGCCCCAGCCCCGCCAACAAACATGGCAAATTCTTTCCCATCACTCCCACATTGAAATGGAGCAGTGGCGTCGGCATCGGGTGTGGGAGCGGGCCCGACAGAGGTGCTTCGAGGAAGAGGCGATGGAGCAGCAAGGGTTGCATTACCACCAGCAGCAGCAGCAACAACAACAGTGGCGGAATCTCAGCGAGCAGAACTGCGATCCCTTCCTTTGGGATAGAAGGCCCTCGCATTTCCGAGGCAAGATCGCATGGGACTCTCCCTCGTACACGTACAATTGGGCGTGGATTTGGGAAGATAACCAGGTGGATGATATGGCAGGAGCTTATGGAGAAGCAAAGTGTGTTAGCCTCGGCTTTATCTGCTACCAGGATTGAGATATGACGGAGAGGGCATGATGCATATTGTCCTGGACAACAGGGAATAAAAGAAGCACAAAAGAAGGCAAGAGATAAGTTGATGATGTATTCTGGAAAAAAGACGAGGCTACGAACGATCGCGGGGGAACGCTACAATCGCGCTGCGAAAAACTAAGGCAACAGCACAAAGAAGACTCCTGTCGGTACTGCTAAGAAGGCCGTTAGTGACGAGCAGGCTGTCGGTACTGCCGTTACTGATGAGCAAGCTGTCGAAACTGCTGAGGATGAGGAGCATGTATAGCTAAGCAAGGTGGTACTGGGAAAGTGGGCACGCTTCGGCTCTGCTCTGTTGATCTGGTAACCTCGAATGCTCGTGATCGTATCTGAAGGTTGAGTGTGGCACCAAGGATAGCCATGCCAGCGTAACGTTTGATATGGGGATGATATTTGGCATTTATTTGCCTAACATTAGATGAGTTGTTTGAAGACCGAACGAGGCATGTGAACGGCTTTCCTACCTAGGTGATCAGCCTGTCAGGTTCATCGATTTTTTTTTGTTGTTGTTGTTGTTATTTTTAACGTCTACTTCTGCCTCCCGTAGGGCATGAGACGTACCGCACCGGTGAGTCTAGCATACAAAAATAGGAGCAGTGCCCTAACTGTCCACCAAACCCTTAAATCCGAGGGCAAACCGAGGCCTATTGCCAGTGGAAATCATGTGTTGCCCATAGCGTAAACGCGGCCCAACACTTATAATCGAATCGCCCAGTGAGCGAGCCGCCGGTATATGACGGGACCTGTAGAACAAAGGAAAAGACTGTCAGGTTCATCGAGTTGTGTTGAAGGGATGCCGACCCGGCCACGTCCAGCGCAAGGATGATCTAGACTTGAAGGGAACTCCCGTTTGCGTATGACATGCATATCTCCGCATGACTTGCATCTGAATCCCCTTTTTGGCAACTTTCTTCATGTTACAGTTGGCGGTTTCTTGGGTGTTCCATTTTGCTCTTGCCCCATGTTGTGTTAGGAGCTAGCGCAAATACACTAACAGCCACCAATGACTTTGCCCAGCCGTAAAACACTCCACGGGCTCCGGTGGGCGGTAAGTGAGGTGTGTTCCAACAACCGAAAGTCGCAGTAGATTCTAGGGAACCGCCTCTACCACAAAGTCCGCTATTACAATGCTCGACGATTTTGATTTGCCGCGAGCCGGGCGACTCTAACTGTCTCGCTCCCTCACTGAATTTCGTATGTGGTGTAGGTGATATGATGGTGCAAGTCCACGTCTTCACTATGCCCACAGGGACAGACAGACTTAACACTTGCACTCATTATTTCATGAAGTGAGGTTGATAGCGGAGTAGACCTGGCAGTGGATCACAGTGGGGTAAAGTGGGTGCATTTCAAGGGATAATGTAGTAACAGTTTGCCGGATTACTTCCGAGGGACCAAGCTAGTGCTCTATGTTAGTTGACGTTAGCGGCACCACTACCGGACTCGGCACCCCGGGCGAGCAGGGGGGCTACCAAAATGCGAAATCCAACATCAAAAGTCTCCCAGACAAATAAGCCTAAGAGGGTCTTCCCAAACACACACGTATGCTTCCATGTCGACAATTTTGTTTCAGTTGTCGATGGGTCTCTTACAATGCATTGAAAGGTACCGCACCTGGACAACATAGACGCTAAGGGGAATGAAAACCCCTTTCTACGCCGCAGTTGAAGCGGGCAGTGGCAGTCACTAGGGGGAAGGGGTTGCTTCTGACGCCGCCGGACAAAGGCATTAACAGTGGATCACTAGATCAAACCAGCAGTTGAAAAGCAGTTAACCTCCCGAGACGCACCAAAAACTTTGAGGTACGCACCAATCCATCTTGAGGATACTATTATTCGGTCCAACGCTTGTTTTCGAAGATAAAAACTATTGCATCTACGTTTAGGCCTAAACATTACAGGATCCGCACATTTTTTAATATTCAATGCTCAAATTTAGAAGGATATAAAGGTTACTACAAATTGCGCTGATGTAATGACTTCATTCGGACTTTTTAGCAATAAAAAGCCCTTTCCTTGCAAATAAAAAATACGGAGTGGATTCTACGCACCTGGTTTACCAAATATCCCCTTTCCAGCTTCAAACATTTAATATAACATGTGCTGTGGATGTTTGGGTTGAAATTTGATGCGTCTCGGGAAGTTAACACTTGAAAAGGGAAGGAGACAGAAATAAAGGGAAGAAAACTGAAAGAAAAGAGAGGAATCCTTGAGCTACTTGCTCGACTGGATGGCAGGGCAAAGGAATGACCTCAGACAAGTCATCTGGCCTAGCTAGATGGCTGCCTAGACTTTCCCTGTTTGATGCAAAGCGCCCGGTCGACCGCTTAAAGTCCACCCATCTCCTCATCGGCAGGTCCTTGTTGGAACTGTTGGAAGAACAGCGCGTACCACTGCTGGTAGTAGTGCTGGAACTCTGATGACCACTGGTTCCAGAGATACATGTAATCCTGGTACTGGCGCACCCGTTCCTCCATGCTCATCCATTGGCCGTCATCACCTCCGTGGTAGGATTGTTGAGAGAGGAGAGTGCTCTCGCCGTCGTAGAAATTGTAGAGATTAGCAGCTTCCTGGTGCTCCTGGCTCTCGCTGCCGTTTTCCTCGAAGTCTTCCTCGAGGCGTGGCTCATATTCATCGCCGTGGGCGTTGGCACCGTGCTTCCAGCGACACGTGGTTGCGCTTGCAGACAATCATCTAACGGCCCCTGATAGGACTTTTGGAACAACGTGTCCCAGTGATAGCACAATTGCTCCTCGCCGTCGACGGAAAGTAGTGGCATCTGAGTCTCGCAAACTTTGCGAACCATGGCATCAGCCTTCTGATGCAGAACTACCTCGTTGATGTGCGCAGGGACCCAGAACAGCTGTAATTTGGCGGGGAATGGTGAGTTTCCTCCAGTGAACCGCGCTCGAAACCTCTGGGACCAACGCTGAAGCGAGGCTATATGGTCGATGTCTTCTACAGGGTAGTTCTTCAATCCTGCAAGCTCTTGGAGGAGGCGCAAGTTGTCGCAGAAGATCTGGACCTTAACCTTCGCCTTGGGCCCTTGCGGCAGTAGTTGCTCAAGGGTCGTGAGCTCAGTGAAAGCCACTTTGATTGCCTGCTTAATTGCCAGTCCCTCGCAACCGTGGCTCTTCTTGTCTCCGACTGGCCAGCCTGCCGCTACTTCGCACCCGTGATACTCGGTACCGGGGGCATAACAATTGAAGACGACCGCATAAGCACCAGCGGAAACACGATCGAGACGCCTGCACCGAGAGCTATCGGTGAACATAGCAAAGGTTATGTCATGCAATGTTGAGGCGCTGTTATGTGCAAGGCATACTGTCTGAATAGCCTTAAGTCGGTCTCTCTCGATGTTGACCTCGCCGCAAAAGTGCTTCGGATCAAGACCCAATAATCTGAACAGTGCGATACTGGTCAGCTTAATGTCTCGCCTTTGATTGTCGAGGAACGATTCCCATGTAAAGACTCACAAGTATTCCGCTTTGAGCGCGTTTTCCACGCGTCTTGCTGCGCCCTCATTTTTGCTCTCTTGTCGTATCAAGAGGTCATCAACGATTGTGGTCTTTGTCAGGAGGAAGCCCAAAAAAGACGGGCGGAGACTGAGAGACGGATCAACGGCAAACCGGATCCTGTCCCATGACTGATGGCGCGATAGTCTCTGAGGGCGGAAGGAGTAGGCAGAAACGAAGGTGATTCACGTTCACTTCAAAGTCACATGTGAAGGTGGGAGCTAGAAGGGATCAAAAACGCTGAATGTAGATAGCAGGAGACTCAACTAGGGATGCGGCACGTTAAGTAGATAGTGCCTTAACAGGTGCAGGTGTGTTCTGGGAAAATAGTCGTTACTACGGTAGCCCGCCTTATTCATGCACCGATTCCAACGAAGACTGCCGGTGATCCATCATCCGACCATTGCCATTCCTGCATTGAGCCTCTGCAGTTCCGGAACTATATTCCGTACTACACCAGCCTTAACTTCGCGCACCTCTCTCGCAGTCCAGAACTGTTCTTCGACCTGAACAACCTCAAACACCACTTTTACACTTCCACCCCAAGAGAAAACTCCACAATCCAGCATTGCAACGATGGTGGCCGCTGTACCTCCTGGAGTGGAGGCAATCCTCGACACCGGTAAGCCAATACGCACTCTCCCTCCCAGCTTCAGGGCTACTCTCTCGTTGACGGCCAAGACATGCGCTAATATTTCTGTCAACGTGATGACTTCAAGCAACACTTAGCGCAAGTCGCCGGAAAGTTGTCCCGCTCGGGCGTTGCCTTGAAGGACAACCACGCGTGGACCGTTGGGGTTCGCGACAAGCTGCAGGAACTCGAGCGCGAGCGCAACAATGCCTACAAGCAGAGATCCGGCCAACCCATGAAGTTGCAATTCATGAAGATGCAACCCAGCGCCCCCATGGAGAACAAGCATGACGACCCGAAGGTCGCACACGGATAGTGCCGCAAGCGCAAAAACGACGACGACGACAACAACAAGGAAACCGCTGTCAAGCGACTCATCGAGCGCCGCAACCTCAACGTCGACGCGGAGAAGCTCCCGATGCAGCTGCCCGCTACCTCGGACTGGACCCACGCGCATCGCGGTGTCAATCACCGACCCGCTACCGAGACGCCTATCTGGACTACTTCCAAGCTCGTCCATGCGCACAAGATGTACTTCGCTGACGACGGCCTTTGGCGCCAGACTATCTACGACCAGGTCTACAACAATGTGTACAGCGAAATCTACGACGAGGTCTACGCCAAGGCGTACAACACGGCCTACAACAATGCCTACGGAGATGGTCTTGAACGTGGTGGCCTACACGGCAGACAGCAGGGAAGCAACCGTGGGTTTGAGGATGGATACGAGCATGGATACATGAAAGAGCACCGGTTGGCTTATGCGAAGGGCCAGGAGAACGCGAGGGATATGTTGAGCAGCAAGGAGGAGAAGGAGGAGAAGGACAAAGAGACCAAGTCTAAAGGGCCCAAGAACGTAGAGTAGGAGTTGAGGTTTGGGACAACGCCGGCGGCCGGAGTCATGGCTACGCTTGTTTCTGTGTGCCAGGAGTTATTTGATGATTTCATGTTGTCAGAGACATTTTTCATGTCATAGCCCATGGCACCATGTCCTTGCTGCAAGGAAATGAGCCACTGATGGGTCTGTTTAGCCATGGCGCTTCCAGGTCAAGTTGTCAAAGTCGTGGAAAGGGCTTAGTGGTTGATCAGCTTGGAGGCTTTGTTGGATAGGGTATTGGCTACCATAGGTACACATTGTTTTGGTATGATGAAAGGGCGGGACAAACCAATGGTCCAGTCATGTCACCAGGTGTCCAAGATGGGCATCGTCATTTTGCTACCCAGTTTCCCAGTGATTGCGTAATGGAAGATCCAAGTTGTTTTTGTCTAATATCGTGAACTTAACAACGTTGAAAGGTGCCTTTGGAAGTTCTGGGGTGTTCAATTCTCGCTCAAGTGACCTTACCCGCCTGAAGTGCTGTTCTGGGTTCAGCCACCTGGAAAGGAGTAGAGAGCCTTATTTGCGTAGCCCGAAGACGCCAGGTTGAGGACTACTTGGGGGGGGCCAAACGCGCCGGCACATAGTTACCCGTAGGGGTAGAGAGAGCAAGAGCGGAGCACTAGCAAGGAGTTTTCAGGCGCTCCCAAGCCTCGTGTGATGTGGTCTTGCAAAGCTGCGCGTCACACCGCTCGACCATGGAGCCTTTGAATATTGGTGAAAGCACACCTTATATGCCACTTAACCCTGCTACCCGAACTGCATCTTGTAACTTGGGAGTCGTACCCCACCATTATTTTTTCTGCTTCGGGTCAGGTATTTAACTTAGAGCTGGCACGCCTTTTGCTCTTTTTCCCATTTCCTCTTTTCTTCTTGAAGCCACTGCTCATCATTCTTGCACTCACGCAATCCATTGCACAACCTTCTGTTTCCGCACAGCACATTTTGACCTGCATTTTGAACCAGATGGCTGTTACCTTCACCAAGATTCTTCATCTGCGCATGAATCTCTGTCGCGCAAATATCAAGTCGTCTACTCTTCCTGCCTCCCTTAGTCTCATTTCTTCCTGCTTCTTCCAAGCAACGCTCATGCGATTTTTGAACTGAGATGTTGGCAGCTACAACTATTTTGACAAGATATCCCCCCTTCACTCAATTGTCTTCTTCCGTTCACAGACGTTGTACACTTTTCCTTTAGGCCGCACATTCCTTCATGTGACAAGATCCATCATACTTTCGATCAACATGTCTTCCCCTTCTGCTTGTCATAGTTGTCTTGTCGGGCTTTCTCCCCTCATTCACCTGACATAGGACTGCCAGTAAGCGCTCCAAGCTTCTCTCTTCTCTTCGTGCTCACTTCCAAACTTTCTAGGGTACTCAACTAACGCTACATTATCACAGTTGTTCTTTTACCTTGTTTGCGACATCACACATTCTACGTTGTTGCGTCAGATGCTACATATCTCTTTCTCTCTCTCTCTCTTTGACCGTTGACATTCTGGCTGTCCATGAGAGCCGAGATGCTCGATGAGGGTGATTACCTGCTCAAAGATAGGTTCCTGATTTGCGAGTCCGAGAGGTCCCGTTTGTATATCTGGTGACCCACGGGTTGCCATTCCTTCCCCATCACCAATGTCATTCCTGGATATTCATCCAGCCTTGCTGCCTTAGACAGCCAGGGTAAAACTGTAACCTGAAAGGGGTGGTCGGTCAGCGGGGAGGCCTGTAGAGGGCGGCCAGGGCAGGGACTTTCAACGCAAGCTGAATACCAAAACCATGAGCACCATGGACACTAGCACCACTCCTCATTTTCATTTGATGTGTGCTCGCGACGTTCAGGTTTGAATTCACACGGTTCAACAGCTGACGTGCCACATGTTAGCCTAAACTCTCAGGGCCCTATTCAATCCAGAGCAGACGCCACACAACATCAATTGTCGGCAAAATTCTCCTCCAATCCCACCCCTCATTGCGGACAGGCACAAGCCCGATATTCCCGCGCCGCCATCCTTTTGTCGCAAACTTGTGAAGCACCCACAACTTTCCCCGTGGCTCACCTTCCTTGCCGCTCGTACACCGTACAACCGCCCGACGGCACAAGTTTACCTTATACCTACCAACTTTGACCTGCTCTTCCATTTCTAGTGCGCTTGCCATTCGCCGCTCGCCATGTTTGAAGTGAGAAGACAAGTCGTGTGACGTGACCCGCCGAGTCCCAGGCTACAGGGTACGACAGAGGATGTCCCGTTCTTCAGTAAGTTTCTTGTTAACCTGGCGCAATGACGCTGTTATCTTATCCATGCGCTACCTCGATGATGATATGATGGTTGCTGACCTGCCTGTAACAAGAACTCCTCTTCACATCGAAACTGATATCTTTCGCCCATATTCCCCCCACATCCGACAAAAACCGTGGAGACGACATTGTTTTCGAAGCTAAGCTCGCCTTGCATCCGTACACCCATCACTTGGACATCAAGCTGGGATTATTTGTTTCCGCATCGTGTCTTGACGGCCCTGAGCTCAAGGGCGCGTATTCAGTTGTCTTCAGGGAACTCTCACCTGGCAAAAGCCACCATGGCAAGCTCCTTAAAATGGCTTGGAATATGCCTTTTGTCACCGACCGAGACTCTGCGAACGGCCTGGAAATTGCTCAAGCCATTTGTATTGTGGGCCAGAGGTTGCGTGCTTTCCCAATCGGTCCAGATGGAGGTCTCGGAACGGTCAAAGTAGGTATCTTTACCGACAACATCCCATGCCTTCGCGATATCATCACCCCGAGTAGACCTGAAGGCTCTGACCGGCTCGTCCGCAAGAGCGTCACCTTGCTTGTCCGCGAAGAACTGGAAAAGCTGTCGGGCATTCCGAACATGAGGGTTGAGCTGGTTCTTAACTGGCTCAAGGCAAATTCTGGCGGGGCGGGCCAGAAGGAAGCCAGCAAGCTCGCCGAGAAATGCCGCAAGCAAGGCAGAAACATCTTTTTCGTCGATGAGAAAGAGAGACCGAGTGCCGAGATGGACAAGTCAGTCGCCAAAAAGATTGCAGACACCCTGCTTCCCGAGCGCCTCCGCATCATCAAGGAACTCAGGGCCAAAGGACTAGCGCCGCCGAGGGCTTTGACCGTTCTGTCAATGGACGATCCTTCGACACGCGAGGATTCGATAGCCTCGCCCACCTCTTCATCCATGCCTCCGCAGGCCCCTAACGCAGAGAATTACGAGGATGATCAAGAGCGCGATAATCTGTCTCCGGTTGCCAATGAACAACGCCGAATGACCAACGGAGATGAGCAGGCCGGCAACGACGAAGCCCCCGAGAACCCTGTTAGCGGACAAGAGCTTGTCAACAGACAGCTCAACATAGAGGACTCGAGTACTACGTCCGTTTTTATTGGGAGAGGAGCCTTCCAGACCGCAGCACTCGGGGCACCCAGGAGTGGTACGAGGCCAGAGCCAAATTTTACGCCTCCGAGCTGGATGATTTAGTCCCCGGTCATCCATTGTACCGGCTCGTGCATCCGCGCAGCCCGGAGCTGGATGCCATCTTCAGGTGGCTGTGAAGGGCGTCTCATCTTTGCTTTGGTGTGTGCTTTGCTTATGTGGCTAGGCATTCAGACTGGAAGGTCGCGTTGTGGTTGTTGGCGGCTTGGCGCCACTCGGGTGTCAGATTTTATGTTCAAGTTATTTTGGGAGTTTGGCGGAGAGTCTCACTCGAGGATAAGTAATGCTTCTCCTTGCATCGGGCTTTTGAGCCTCAAGGAGAATGATGATGCTGTGGAAATTGTTGAGAGAGATGGAAGAGTAGGGGGATGTTTTGTGGTAGCTTTTCTTGTCTCACCGAGCATGGAGTATGGTGTTGTTTTGGTCTCTTTTCGTTTTTTCATGAGATACCCGGATTTCTTTTAAAGGAACTCCACCATGCATGTATATAGCCTGGAGTACGATTAAGACTTTTGTACCAATTAATTCTCAAACCGCTCTTCTCAAAACCAGCGTTTGCGGTCAGGCATTATGGCCGTGTGCACCGCTCTTTGCAACCATACCGTGGTCTCACTCAGTCTCACTGACACTGCATTGTCTGTCAGAATCATGCTTGGGTTGTTCATACAAGTGAGTGTCCTGGCTATGATCTGGTAACGTTATCTGTCAGCTTGTTAGCCCGGCGAGACCGGGTTCAAACCAATACATATCCATTGAAACGATGGAAATGTCTCAAGAAATGCCACAAGTTAGTCAGCACCAAGGTGTCGTAACAACATTATAGGTCACTGAATAGGCATAGAGAAAACCTACACCCACACACATCGCCCTTTACACTCACACACATCCCATATATAACCTCAACCCTATCAAACCTCTGGCAATCCGAACTCCACCATGCCAGCTGGGTGTGAAATTTCCGTTTTTGCCGCCAAAATTTCCAAAATTGGGAACGAAGCCTACGATGTCCAAAGTCCACTATCGCCAATGATATCTGCCTGACCAACATTCGCAAATCGTCACTTATATACTCTGAAAAAGAGTTTACAAGAATGGCGACAATGGAAAACGGACTTAACGACAACGGCAACGACAACAAAAACAACGAAAGTGAAAAGTAGAATTGAACCCGATTTCGAGATAAATTTCGTTTTATTTCTTTCTTTGCCTTGGAATAGCAGTTGACGGTTGGGGAATATGGAATGTTGACGCTAACATACCCTCCAAAACAACGACTTTCTTTCAGCCAGTTGTCAAGTGGAGAATACGTGTGTCTGTAGGAGAGGGTGTGTGTGGGCGTAGGTTTTCTCATAGGCATATCACCAGCGACCTTAAGCCATCTTGATCAAGCGAGAGAGACAAGCTGGATGTCAAAACCGCTGTGTGGGTTGACCTGAGGCCGCGAGCCTTGGAACATTTTGAACCATATCCATCAACAAGGAGGGATTCAGAATGATATTTCTATGTAGGTACCACAATATTTTGACCGACATTTAAGTTATTTCCTTCGACCAACATCTTGGATGGATTCTTGATAACTTTGCTCCATAGTGCTACCACGTCCTCTAGTTTCTCCGACATGCTTTCCAATCCAAAGAGAGCAGGAAGAGTGTGTCTGTGTTCCCCGTTCGACGAAGTTCTATCACTACTTGCCAGCCTGATTCAGTCTGCGGCGCCCAGCTCTAAGACTATTGGTGGCGCAAGAGTCCATGGGAGTTCTCTACAACCATATTCGTGTAACCTACAGGCACCTCGAGAGCATATCGTTCTTCCAGCGTTTTGCCAATTTCTATTCCGACAGTTAAGATACCTTGTGGTGTGAGTGTCTTGCTCCAGCCCAAGCTGAATGGCGTAGGTCACACTGCATTGTCGTGAAGAAGATCATCCCGAGCGATCTGGCGAATCGGAACAAGCGCCCCTGTCTTAAAGGGTAAGGGGAATCCGCTGATCAGCACCGACTAGCTGGAGATGATGTACGTTGTGGAGCGCCATAGCCGCCATTGGAATGAGACTCGGCATCACAGCTGAAGATTGCACAGCGCCTAGGTCCCCTATGCTCCCGACTGGTGTCTCTGTTCCTCATATGTCTTGGACAAGCAGTGTACAACAACCGAAAGACGTAAATCGTAGCTGAAGTTATGTAAAAATGGCGAACCGAGTAGTAGGCGCAAGCCCCGAATGTTATTGCAAAATTTCTTGATATAAGGCACCTCTAGACCAGTTCACTCTCACCTTGTTGTCCCCGCTTTTCTATATTTCTGCTAGACGCTTTTGTCCTACCTTAAAGATGCTCGTTCAACAACCACATCAAAACGTACTCAAGGGGCAAGCCAGATCTGAAACAGCTTTCTTTACGAACACAAACAGGGGCAGCAACAACAATGGATTACATGAGCAATATCAACACGCCTACGAAGTCCCGTCAGCGAAGACAGAACCTCATCTTTCGCAATGTACCTATCTTCGACAGACAGTAGGATACACACAGAAGGCCCACATCATTCCCAGAGAAGAGTTTCATGCATCAGTGAACGCACTTTGGAATCTCATCGAGGACAACCCCGAAGTCCGTTCACTCTTCACCAAGATGCTGGAGCAGGTCCCAAATGCACCTCCTTACGACAAAAGTCCCACCGGTGGCCCACGGCTTCGCAACTGGAAGGACCTACTTTACGCTTTCAATGACCAGCTCGCACGAGGACCAACATGGCTTTACGACACGCCGGGCCAGCAAGGCCTAATCGGCTTTCCTTTCAATGTTCTTTTGGTACGTTACCGTAATTTTGCTGCCCCGCTTTTACTCATGTCTTCTTTGGCGTCCCGCCCAGCCCAGCCGAGCACTTCGTGGTCGCAAGCTGACTCCCGATTCCCGAAAAAAGAACTGGTCAATGTCAACCCCAGCCGGCCTCCTCGCCTTCCACCGTCCCGACGTCAACGCCCGCCTCCGCGACATCCTCACAGCCTACGGCAGATTTCTCTCTTCCCCTGCCTCTGCGACCGTCCTCAACGCCTCCCCGACCGGCTGGCTCAATCCGACCGCTCTCGATGCCATTGTGTCAACCGCTTGTCGGCAAACCACCACCAGCTCCGAGCTCGATTCAACAACAGACACCACCGATCCCTGTCCCCCTCCTCGTCCGCAATTCCACGACCTCTTCGTCTCCAACCCTCTCCATCTCACATACGGCTTCGCCTCCTGGGACGCCTTCTTCACGCGCCGCTTCCGACCCGGTATCCGACCTTTCGCTTCCCCCTCCGACGACAGCGTCATAGTCAACACCTGCGAATCCCGTCCCATAGCGCTCGAGCGCGGCCTCAAACTCCACGATGAGTTCTGGCTTAAAGGGCAGCCGTATAGCCTGCTTACCATCCTAGGCGCAAGCTTGGCGTCAGACACGGTAGTGGGGAAGGCAGAAGAAGAAGAAGAGGAGGAAAAGGAAAACAAAGAGCTGCGAGAAGCGATGCGCTTCGAAGGCGGGACCCTCTACCAAGGTTTCCTAGGAGCGCTAAGTTACCACCGCTGGCACGCGCCGGTGGCAGGCACAGTAGAGAAGGTGAGGAAGATACAGGGGACTTACTTTGCTGGATGTCCTGGATTGGCGTCGCGCCGTGATACTAATGGGGGTGGGGAGGAACGCAAGCTTGATCCCTCGGCGCCGGATAGAAGTCAGAGATATCTCTGCCAGGTGGGCACGAGGGCTTTGGTGTATATACGGGCGAGAGACAAGAGACTGGGCACGGTGGTGTTTGTGGCGGTGGGAATGGCGGAGGTAAGTAGCTGCCAGGTTACGGTGTGGGAGGGGGATTTGGTGGAGAAGGGGGAGGAGATTGGAATGGTGAGTTTGCGAAGTCTTTCCTTTGGAGTTAAGAGTGTCGTCAAGTTGAGATGGGCAGTTTTGCTAACGGTGCTTGCGTGCATGATGCAGTTCCACTATGGCGGCTCGACGCATTGTCTTATCTTCGAACCCAGTGTTCGGTTGAAGTTTATAGATGCAGTAGAGCAGGTGGATGTCAAGAAACGGGGTAATGACTTGAACTTGCCGGTCAATGGGTACTTGGCGGAGGTTGTGTCTTGATGATGATTGCCGGGGATTCTGCATGCATGAAGCTGCAGAGGGAACATATTTACAGCATAGAGATCATCAGCCATGTACTATTGAACAAGAAGACATCCAAGTGCCAGGAAGACTGTTCGCTGAAATAAGCAAACCTCAGGATTGTGACAACCGAAAGCCGTAGAGATACTTAACTTGTGACCACATCGGTTGTTGTTGTTGTT